ACAAAATCGCTCTTATTGTTGTTCTGTGTTGATCTATTATGTGCTAAATTAAATCATACATATTGTTTACGACCTGTGGGACAATATTAGCTGACGCCCATTAAGATATCCCTTTTTAATTGCGCTTGTCATGTACGTGATTTTGTATTGGTACCTAAGAAATTCGCTAGATAGTTTTGTATTAAAACCATTCAGCTTGTATATTAGGCAGAAACATAATGGTTTCTGGCCTTGGGTTACGTCTGAAAGGCAGTTGGCACTGCTAAAGAAATTGACTTGCTTGTGGGAAATTGCATATTTGTCTTGAAGAAACTGAGCAAGAGTCGCTTTGTTTAGTTGACTGTGTGTATACTATTTTGAATGTGGATTATCTGAAATATAGTACTGTCGTGCTGAATATTCTTGGTATGGCTGATATGCACACCTCTTATTTGTGACATCATCTATCGTTCAGTTGATGCAAGAATGTGATGCAGTGGAACACAGTACACTTGAGTTGTACTTCGTTGAAATTACTATCTTCAATATTTCAACACAGATTGAATCTAGGACAAATCTGCTACATACGAGAACACGTGTAGTAATGTGTGTTCCAGTCCACATAAAGTTAATTCTATGTGTTGTTTAAGAGATTATATTTTTTCCCTAGCAATAATAAATAAGGTTACAGAATACTAGACTGATTTTGTCACCAACGTGAAATGAGGGAACAAGCAAGTATCGATGTATACGCTGAACATATACTAGTCTAGTTAATAAGCTGTAAGCCAATCGGACTGTTATTTGACATTAAACCAAATATTTTCAAACTCCTGATGTCTTTGTTGAATGCACTCCTTTTAACAAACGCATTTCCTTCGAACACAAAGAAAATGCCGGAATCACCGCATTCCCTTTTTTCTATTATTGCTATAATTGTTCTTGTTCTGCCATAAAAACGCACTTCTTACTTTAGGTAGCCATAATTCGGAGGGACAACTAACTGTCAGTTTGAAAGGCTGAGCTCAAAAGTAAGTCGAAGTTGCCCTCAGTTCAAATTTGATTAGCTAATCGGAGTTCCGCTTGACTTCTGTTAAAAGTGGCGAATGACAGAAGAGGAATTCGTAAATTGTGCAACTAGACAATTGGAAAAGGCTCGAACACCTTAACATCTAACATAACATAACATACTTTGCAAAAAGCTGATCACAACTCATTTGAAAACATTTCTCAAGATTCACCGAATTTTCAGCAGACTTATTTCTACAAACAGCACCAGACACGATTTTTTTTTTGCCGGGGCTTGTAAACAGTGAAAGTCTACGTTATCTTGAACAGAATTGTGTTGACTTGTGCCTAATGTCAGACTGATCTCTCCATTGTCAATGCAATCACCATAACGCAGCGTAGGCCGAAATTCAACTACAGGTCGTCTCAATGATTCTCACCTCTGATGCTGTCTAACGATATCAAAACCGTAGTTTAATGCTTCTTTTGGAAAGATGACTGAGTTAACCATCTTTGTGCAAATGCTGCAATCAAAATTTCAGTAAAGTTCAATCAACGACGACCGAATCCTCCATTACTTATCAGTATGTGGACAGATCAACCTACTGTGTACGGTAGTAAAATCGCACCACACTATCCAATATATGTTTGCTTTTTCCTTATTTGACCTTGAAATATGTTTTTTACTATTCATAACGAAACATTGCCTATACCCATAAGTTAAAATACTTCATGAGCTTTAAGGACAAAATTGGCCGGTTTATCTTCAAGTGAACTTTTAAGTCTAATGAGAAATTGCTGTGTTGTGAACCATCATTTCCTGTAAAGGTTATCAGGACTTTCTCACAACGTACTCATAATAATTAGTTCAGGCTTTTGCTTCATCAGTTTAATTCAGCTGTACTTGCCATGACCTTGAACATCCTTCCTTTCAAAAGTGACAAACGCTTTGCAAAACACAGTTTGTTGATTGGACATGACCTCTGATGATTGGAATTCATTGAATGTCGACCACTGTGGATACGTAATCACGCGATACTCGATCTAAATCGACTGCGAATTCCGTGGAGTCGAAATTTCCAAAAATGTTTCATGATGAGGTGCAAGCAAAGTTGAAAATCATCGGTCATCGCTCTTAGGAATGTTGAGGATGAGAAAATGAGGCGAAATTGAATATTGCTTCCAGTCCAAACTATGAAGAGGGTTTTATCAATTTTTTCTGCATGTGGGTAGCTGGTTCCCTTCAAGAATCTGGTGAGTTTCATTAAATCTCTAATAGTGCCACTCTTTCTTAAACACTTGTATGCATCTACAAGAATATTGTAGACTGCACCAAGAACACGTCAATAACTTGTACTTCGAAAGCTACTTCACATTATTTTCGAGTTTAAAATATCCTGGATGATTATTTCAATCGAAGTTATACTGATATTTAGCTATTGTTGTACATAAACCATGATTGTCTGCAAACCACAGTTTAATACTGCTGCTCTTGCATAAACAATTGGAAGCTTATTTTCTTTTGACGATCTTACTTGGCCAAGCAGTTTGTAGTCAATTTGCCGAAGTTTTAAGTTTTTACGACTACCGAACAGACCGTAAAATTAATCAGTATTTTGGTAGAGCAGTCAAAAACTTTAATGCTCACGATTTATGACCCGACAAATTTCCCTGTGTACTATCAGGTGCATAGTGCAGAACTGAAGGTGGTAAATCGGAAACAGGGGTCAAATGTGAAACCAAACGTACAAGGGACACATACGACGGAGCTGTTCGCCAACTACTCAGTGGCATCGTTACAGTGACAGTGTCAAACCATCAAACAGGTTCTTCTGCATACACAGGGTTTGGGATCAGCGTCTCAGAGCAGCTGCTTCACCATGTCGTAACAACCGGAATTGATTTCAGAACTGTCACATTGTGGAACGAACCGTCTGATGAGGATGTACCATGTTCTAGAGTCAATAACAATGGTAACAAGTGAACACAAACAGACTGCTGCATGAACACGGCGGTATGTAGAGTAACACCTCAATACTAGAATCAGTTGTTTAATAATATGGCGAGGAAACCTGAATTGCTTGATCCACAATCCACGTTTACAGACGTAGCCGCACATGACATGTGTATGTGGTGATTGAGTAATTACGCTGTCATTTTCAGATGTAACCGATAAAAAAGAAACCACGTACCATACCGGCGGTCCATTAGTTTATCGTCAGAAGTAAATACGTTTTCGCAATAACCACCGAATCAGATACTTGGAAATTTCGGAAAACCACCTCTGCTGCGAACAAAAAAGATAGAATCAGTTCTTTGCACAATTCACATTTTATTGCATCTAATTAGGTACACACTGAAGGATGATATAACAAAATTCCATGTGTGATTTAGCCACATATATATCAAACAGCATCAGTTACTGAGGGTAATCTGGTACTGCTGAGCAAACATTTATGTACATAGAGAAGTGACTTCCATTAAGTGCTATCGCTTCCGCGATTCGGAGAAGACTTTGAGTTTTCCTGCATACCGTATCAGGAAAGCTCATACCTGTAGACCAGTTTCTGACGGTGGATGACGCCATCTTCTTTGTGAAGTGTTGAGCTACTAACAATTCGAAATACTGTTGTATCCGTAAGAATTGTATGACCCCAAATTGGAATGTGTTCGTTGGCTCTATTGCGCGCTTGTCGTCCTATTCTGCTCATGCAAGTGACCGGCAACGCACACGGGTAATCACCAATGATGTAAGATTTGACATTGAGAGGTACTATTATTTTCAGCGACGATTTTGGTGTTCGGCTGGCTTTGAACAGCATCGCAATTTGCTTGAGATGAATTATGTGCAAAAACTATTCTTGACTATTATAATTAAGTGTGTTATTGGAAACTTTCATACACCTCATCCATAATCATTTTTATATAAATGCTGACAATGAACAATCTGATCAGAAATCTACAACTAGTGGTAAGCCTCAGGGTCTTATTATTGGTCAGATATTGTTCCCACTATACTTGATTGAACTTTGACTGCCTTCAAACAACCAAGTATAATCTTATGTTCATGAATCCGAAGCATGTTGAATAGTGGAGAGTTACAAGGAAAAGGAATGTTATAAATAGATTTTGTTAGTTTGAGTGACTGGGCTACAGGGAACCGGTCTCTGTTCAGCTCACTCGAATTTGAAGTGCTAAAATATGAGAAACTACTTACTATCCACAATGAACAGAACCCACTGAGAAAGCTGACCAGGTCCGCCCAGAATTTTATTTAGATAGCTTTCGTTTGCTATTTGTACTACTGGTATCAACTTGTACTGCGTTGGGTGATCAGGCATCTTGACTACGACACGAGAACCATTTATCCAATTTAGACCGTATTTACTAGAACATCTTTGGAGACGCCATCCTAAGCCTAACGTGAAACGCCTTCTGCCGATCAGAAACCTAGTACCCTCAGGACCGTTGTCATTTTTCGTGTCGAGTACGCATGTGTGGTCAGTTATGTCCTGTGCATCAAAAGGTGCAGTTTATTCTCATGAAAGACCCATAACTAACTTCAGTGATTGGTGATCGTTAACTCAGTCAGTTAACCTGTTTAAAACGGACTCAGTATTTGGACAACGCAACTTTCTGTTAGCGCGTAATATTTGAATGTGCAAGTTTGCCACCGGTGACTAAGTTAATGAGAGCTCATAATGCTTGCTGGTTTTGCGAGCTTCCCAGTCTGTTAAAGAAGCGTCTATCGCACTGTGATTAGAGGAAATGGCATGGTGTCCAGAAATTACTGTGCTTACTATCTAGTAATGCCTCGACCACTTCACTGGACACAGTTGGTTAGTACCGTCCACCATGTCGAGGAGCTTGTGATTGTCCGCGGTGATGGCTAAAACGCTCTCACGCGTGTTGATGTGTCTTGGTTAATGGAAGTATTGTGTCTCTAAGGTGACTAAAATTTCCTCTTTATAACTATTCATTGTTTTTAGGTGAGACCCAACTGTGAAAAGTCAGGGCTTCAGCTGGATTCGAACCAGCAACAGAGATATCACGCCTTGCCTTGACAAGCGCTCTACCAGCTGAACTACGAAGCTACGCAAGAAGCTCGGAAATGTCATAAATCTGCCAAACTACTTATCTGTATATCATTATTTTGTTGTGTAGTTTCAACTTAATGCGGTTAAAAGTCGTGAACGTTCTGGTTCTTCTTGGCGCGACTAACAATAACCAGGTTTAGGGTAACACGTGGTGCTTCCTCGAGCTGACAGTGACGAGGATGATGGTTGTTATTACTGTTCTGAATGTCTCTAAGGTCACTTCTTGAAGCTACACTTTCTAGTGTGTTGCCCAAAATGTTTGCAATCGTCTTCCAATGCACTGGCGTCTGCAGTTTATCCTCCATGTCATTAGTAGGCAGTTAATTTCTCATACGTCACCTTGTTTTATTGCGTTTAATATGAACTCAACCGCTGCTGGGTCCGAAATTGAAGTCGCAGTTTTTTCTCTCTGAAAATCATCCAGCATCAAGCTAGTTGTACATAAAAAAGCAAACATTCCAAATTCAAGACTTCCAATGAGTGCGATTTTGACTTTTGCGTGGCTGACATGCTTTCTACATTCTGTCGCCAATGATGAGGTCGCAACTGAAGCTCTGCTTCACAAGAGTAAGCATCCACCACAGCCCCATATAAGGTTGACAAAGGGGTTTTGTAAATGGTTGGTCCCATTGTCCACCAACAAAGTGGCTGATAGCGGCTTCAACCTAGTTCAGTCTCATTAGCATCACGCACGCCAAAGAATCGAACCCACGACCCGTGAATTAATGGCAGATTGTAGTCCAGGCAGCTGTCCACTGGACCACGGGGTTACGATCACTGAGAGTGCAGAAAGGTGTGTGGATTAGTTTCCTTAGCTGTTACGCTTTCTTTCGTTCATAGGCTGAAATCAGTCAGCCCTCTGGTGGATATGTGTTTCGACTACAATTTATCTCTTATTCACGGGTAGTGGGTTCGATTCTTCGGCGTGCGTGATACTATTGAAACCGGACTAGGTGGAAACATCTGTCCACCACTTTGCTGGTGGACAATGAGACCAACCGATTGCAATAATTGTGATCACAATTTGACCAGATGAAATTCACTATTGTTGGTCGTTCGACAATTGATGTGGACATATACCACAATTGAATCCACTTCATTTCTTTCCTTTGGGAATATCTTCCGTCATGTATGACCATTTTTTAGTCCGTTTTGATTCTATTAACTGAAAACAAATAGGCTCATATTATATGCGGTAATGTGAAAATCCTTGCTAATTTTAACGATGTGTCATCTGTTGGTTATTTGGCTGGCGTTGAATAATTAACCGCCTTCCCATTAGCTGCGAGCCTGGCTGCGTCGGTAGTCAGTTCAGTGGATAGTGGATAGCTCGGTCTGAATGGCTTCGCAACCATTTCTCTGAGTTGGTGAAGCTCCAGTCTTAATGAGTCCGACCTGTCAAACCATGTAGAAAAATTTTGGCTAGCTTTACCATTCTTGATTACCACAGTAGTGTAAAAATCCTGACAAAACAGAGCGCGCCTTTTCAGGTAAAGCATAATGTCAAATAAAAAAGAATTATTGACCCGAAAGTAACATAATCCACTTAATTAAGTAGGATTTCCACTGCTCTTTTCAGTCACTTATTTTGTGGCAAACAAGAACATTTCATATCAACCAACTGTGTTGCACTTTTACTAAGGAAAAATCTCTCTAAAAAAAACAAATAGAGTAGATTTTAGCTGTGATGATATTTGTGCATGCTGGTTTGTTTATGTCAATATCGATTAATTTTAAATTTTTACTCTTACGCCTCACAGGAAAGAAGGTTGGCATGTATCCATTTCCCATCTTACGAAATCAATCTGTCAACGAAACAATCAATAGTTTATCATTCTGATTCCGACAACGAAATGCTTATACTTTGGATATTTTATTCGTCATGCTGAACTACATAAAAACGATGAAGTTCATCAGCAACACCACCTATAAAACAACGTCTGGCATGTTCTGCACAAAACGACAGATGCAAAAAAATGGACTCACATATTTGTATTTGTACTGATGGGATGAAGGAGACGTAATCTGTACACGATTTTGGGGTTAATTATTAATTGATGTATGACAACAAACTATAACTTCGTCACCAAATTTGTACAAGTAGGTTTAGATTTACCAGCTGTGTGATGCCCTGCTGGGATCAACCTGCCAACACTACAGGCAAACAAATCAAGTTTGGATGCTTCGATACAAGTGATGTGGGAATGACCCATACAGAAATTTATAACCATTGTTTGCGGGATATAAGTGCAAAATCTACATTGTGTAATACGGAAAACAATATTTAGAATATCGATTTGTTTGACAACCAATTAAACTTGCCAATACTGCAGTCAACATCCACTGAGTTGTCACTAGCGCTGCAACACAACCACTCTTTCGTTCATAAACCTATGGGATTAAAGAATGTAAGACCACTATTAGCCAGCGATAGGTGTGTTATCTTCCCTACAAACAATAGCTGTAAGACTACACGTAATGTAAACGCTGTAAAGAGAGGAGCTCAGTTGGACGAGGTTTTTGTTTAAAAAGGGATCAAGTTTTTTGAAGTAGGAAAACAATCTGTTGCATTGCACCATCAACAAAAACAGGTGGAATCGATACGTGTAAGGCCTTCCATACAATAATAAGAGAATTCACTGAATAGAGTCAAATTTTCAAACTTGCTTTCATCTTATGTATTGCTAGATACGACGACATCATGGTTGTCGTTAGTTTGACTAGACTTTCACACTTACTTTTCTAGTGACTGGGTAAACGGCTGCATTCACACAGCGATATCTCTGACAGCATCACCTATGCTTTCGGGTTGTTACGAATAACGTACGTTGACGCACGTTAACTACGAAGAACCAAGAGAGGAGTTATTTCACACAACTTGAATTGCTTTTATCGATTAACGTTATTTATTTTTTTAATCCTCTACCTCTTAATCCATGTCGAATGCATCGTGAAATCGATTAACTTGGAATTCTTTCACCGCTGAATACATTCGTGGTGTAAAAGCAGCACTGTTAATTAAGTTTGCTGCTTGATCATCTTCGGTTAATGTCAGTTAGCTGGGTCGCATTGCTTTACAGGTGGTCTAATCGCTCTCAATCGAATTCGGTAAGACTGAGCTACAGTCACGATCAAGGTTTCTACACTTGTTTCTCAGTCCTTACAGTTATACAGAAAGATGTTAATTTACTGGATGATAATCACTGTTTATTCTTTTGTAGAATTCCTCTCACCAGTTTGCCAAAGCTGCATAATAAGCCTTTCCGTTTGAGCATAAGTAAAATAGAAAAAACGATAAAAGTTCCGTCGCTTGTAGTGTTATAAATCCAACTCACCTGTAAGTTAGAACAAAAACTTCACACGGTTTTTCTGCAGATTTTTTAGGTTCTCCAGTTACCGATTATTTTCCGTTCAAAACTTTTACTGTATGACAAAGATGAACGGTCATCATTTCAATGGAATTGTTCAGTTCGCGCAAATTGTCAAATTGGTACACAGAAGGCCGATATCGAGGTTAGTCTGCACATAAGTATTTAATTCAACTTCAATGCCCATAATACACATGTGGATTTGATAACAGCACTTTAGACCATCAAACTATTCAGTAGCTGACTCATTCTGTTGAAAGCAAGGATTTATGCCTTCGGCTTCTAAACTATCATTCATTCCGAACTTGTTATGATCATATCAATTTAATCCTAAGCCTGTTCCTGATGTAAACGTGGCATCTTCTATTAACATGAGTTGTTAGATTGCATTCATTCATTTAGCCGTCTGTTTGTAAGTTCATCGAAGGAAGATTCAAAGCCAACAAGTTGATGTAACTACTTGTGTATACTTAATGTCTGAGTGATCTTGAACTAAAGAGTTCGTTTAAATACATGACCGAGTAATGAGATCAAAACCCCATCAGCACGGACTCGTTTATTTTGCGAAAATATCCAACTACTGCAGTCTTAATGTGAAACCTGGGGAATATGTTCCTATTTGATCACCTGAATCTTAGGCGATTCAGCTCGGACGACAGCTGAATCACATCCCACGTTAAACTCAAATTTGTTTCCCTTGCCCTAAGAGTGTCAGAGTCAGTTGCCTAAATGTTTAATCGATGCATTCTTCCCAGTATCGTGTACGGCTTAGCAGAGGGGCATGTGTGTTTGCGATAAAAGGACAATTTTGTCATTTACAGCATTCGTTTCTAAGTAGTATCGACCACAAACGAGATATTCCAACACATGTCCAACAAAAATTTCATTAGGCCAATCAGTGCAGTTACACTGAAAAATTGTTCGGTTAGATATTATTCAAATGTTACATTGATGTACTCGGTATGATCAAACATGAAACGAAATACAATTGTTCTAATGTTTGATTAATATCACGTTTAATCTACGTGTCAATCCTGCGGTGCAACTAATTTTAAAAAGTACATAATATCATTTAGGAATATTGCACATTTAGAAAATTGTTGGAACATTATCTACCTGGGGAATATCATCCTTGTCATGTGAAAGAATTGTTTATCTACGTATTAACAAAAACACAATCTGTATGCCCAAGTCGGTCATTACCAAATCTTCATCTCATTTGATAGATAACCAACGAACCGCTTAAATCCCGGACAAGCATGAAAAGCTCTGCAGTAACGTACTTATGAAATATATGCACTTATCCTAACACTATTCTTCCACTGCGGTATGTGGTTAGCGTCTTCTAAATTCTTGTATGTTATTCGCACATGCTTAACATATCTACAACAGTCCGGCGAGAATAACCAACGACAGCTGTTCGAAAAACTTTGGTTCATTTAGGTGGGACACACAAGATTCACAACAAAAGCGGTGGTTTACAGTTCTGACACTTGAAACACTGGGTTCCATTTAACAACTTCATCAGCGCAGAAAGATAATATACATTGCGATATGTTAACACGTCGTTTACTAATATCAATCGCAAACGTGAAACTTGCAGGTTATATGTGATACACAAATAGAAAT